GTGTGTGTGTGTGTGTGTGTGTGTGTGTGTGTGTGTGTGTGTGTGTGAGTGAGTGAGAGACACTAACGTGTCCTAAAGCCCAGCAGAGGCCTCGTCTGGATCCAGACTGCTGTCATGTGATGACTTCAGGCCAGAAGAAAGCCTGTTGTTGCACAAACAGACACCGTGAAGTCAGAGAGCAGCCCTGTTCCCTGACGTGGCCTCTGTCTACTTGGTTTGGGTTGTTGGAGCACACCAGAGCGTGGACAGACATGACCCACTGCCTCAGCTCTTTAATGGAGCCTCTGTGATGTCATGTTTCACCATCATATGAGAGCAGGGCTCCACAGTCTGTCAGGCTCTCACAGTAGAGTTGTATCCTGCAGCAGAGAGGAGGCTCAGTGAAGAATACAGAAGAAATCACTTCTGACATGTATCAGAGTTCTCAAGAGAGAGTCTGCATTAGTACATTTTAGACCTTGTGGAACAGTGTCTGCAACCTAATGTGAGCTCAAAGGTACGCCTGGTTCAGAGCTCTCAGCTGCTCATCACAGTCTGCTTCTGCTGGTGGAGCGAGCTCCGGGTGTCCTTGAGGTGTGACGCTGAAGACAGAGAGCACCTGCTAACGTGGGACCCAGCTCACACCTGAGCCAGCTCTATTTGCTGAGGAGGAGATGCACTTGAAAGAAAATTCCATGTATGAGAAACCCTCCCGGGAAATTAGCTACAAGCAGAGAAAGGGTTCATTCGAGTGTAGATTTTAATTTCTAAAGAAAAGGTCAGAACCTCAGACTGTCAGTAGGCTTTTAACAAACAGGCCTGTACAACATGTCAAAGCAAAAGTGCTCTCTAATACAGAGTCGGGGTAAAAGCCTCATCACACCTCCAGCTCTCTCCAAGAACTCTGTGTTCTGTGTCTTTGCGGTCTCAACACTATGAACTGTAGCAACTAAGTGAGCGTAAAGAAAGAGGCGTGATAACTTGCACCTCCACACGCCCGATCAGTTACACGTTAGGTGGCTGAAGTGTCTGATTGTCTCAATCCGAAGGCGTTGGATGTGTCCTCTGTAATGGTTCACATGCTGATCTGATGAGCTCTTGTGGTCCAGCTTTGATAGGGGACACTTATTGTTTAGTATCAGTCAGTGCAGTCACATGATTTGTCCCCAGAGCTGTATCATGGCATCCTGCCCAGGGACCTGGTGGTGGATCTGGGAGCAGAGAGGACCTGGTTTGATTATTGCTCCCAGAGCTGCATGTGTTTCAGAATGACCTGTGCACTCTGACTAACTAATGTGGTGTTTCTGCTCTTTTCTTACGTGTTTGGTTGTGAACCGCTGTGAGAGGACACCAGTGTCACCTTACATAGTCCAAGCTATGCAACAGCCATGACTTGGTATCATTGGTTAAATAATCCTGATTCTCTTAATGCCAGTGTCTTATAGAAATCTAAGTGTAATGTCAGGAGAAACATCTGCCAAATATACTGATGTTTAGTGCCTCTACTGTCCAATCACCTTCACAGCTTTTATACTGCTCTAGTTCTTTTTCATGATGCCCTCACATCAAGTCATTCAGATAAAACCTTCCACTTCAGATCGACCAGCTCTCAATGTACAGTCTAACTTATGCTGTCTTACTCTTCTACTCTCTTAAACAAATCAAACCTAAATAAAGTGTTTCTAAAGAACATCTCTGTCTCTGTCCGTCTTATTGAATTTCTGCTTGTTGAGAAATACGCAACTATTTTGATCAGTAAAACTTTCAGTCATTTTTCAAGCAAAAATAAAATTCTGTGACAAGATTTTTATTGATGATGATCTATGACTCATGGGGAGAATTGACATGTTTCTGATTTCTCATCGAAACATTTGTAATGATGGAGTTGCAGCCCTGATGAGGACGTTTCTTATTTTGTCTTTCGAGCAGATCTTGGACACAGGTTTGAACCAAGTGTAAATGGAGTAGATGCAGAGGAGCACAGCTGGAGCACAGCTGGAGCACAGCTGGAGCACAGCTGGAGCTGGAAGGCAGAGTGGAGAGGCAGGAAGAGTACCTGAGACACAGGAGTCATCGGGATCACAATGATTAGAGACAATCTAGGAAAACTGGAGTGTAGAGGCGGTTCAGATACGCAGCAGCTGATGAGTGGGGGGGTCTCAGGTGTGCAGGTAGTAGTACACAACAGCATAGAAAAGATGTGAGGATTTGAGTGATATAGACACTAGCCAGAGAATACTTTGGTAACGATAAGCTTTACTTTTTTGTTTTAAGACAAACTTTTCATTCGTTTTTTACTCCAACATCACTCGAGCAGGGTCCGTCACAAGCATTAACAATGTTATGTAACATAATGAGAAAAGCAAGGAGCTCCATAGCAGCTCTTTTAATGGCCTCTAATGTTCCTCTCAGCGTTATGACAGAGGAATACTGCATGGTGGAAGACATCTATTGATTGATACATGAGCGTGTGGGGAGTCCTGCTTGCGGTTGGCTGCAGTTAAGCCACAATTTTCTGTTCCTGTTATTAGATCAATTAAGAGATGAATCATCATTCAGCAATCCAATGTTTGGGAGACACGGTGTCTGAACCCCAATGATGTCAGATACCATGTCGATACCTCCACCAGTGCTTCACTGGAGTTCACTCCAACAAGCAAAATGTCTTTTGGTTCTTCCGCTGACAGCATAGTTGATAGATAATATCTGTATCATTAGTGATTGTGAGTTTATGATGTTCCATGTTCTCTGTCCTTTTTCAGAACTGCATTACATAGTGTCATAATGCCAATACATCCCATCCATTTCTGTTTTTATGGAAGTAAAGCTGCTTTCACCAGTTAAGCTCTGTAAGATCTTATTGTTCCATATCTTAACAGGAATTTGGATGTAGCTACTAATTAATATAATTATGTATATATACTATAATTGAATCTTATATGAAGTCAACTTGTGTCCTTCTGATGAGCAGCATCAAGAGAGCTTCCAATGTCTTTGATTATATGATGACATTCTACTGGCAAACGTAAAATACTCTCCTCAGTACTTTTGGATTCACATGTTCTACTATCGCACGAGGTAAAAGTTCACGAGTCGACATACTTTGAGCCTTTTGGTCATTGTTTGAGGTACTGATTATTATTCAGACATCATGGTGTGTGTTCATAGAGAGAAGGCCACAGACACAGCTGCTGTTCAGCCAGCAGAGGATGCTGTATCACTACAGCTGGAGAGCTTGAAAGGCTACTCCAGTGATTTAGTATTACATCCTTAAAGGTATGGAGACTTAAGCAACACTTTTAAAAAGGGTCGGTCAAAATGGTGAAGATATCCTGACTCTAATCCCTCCACATAAACTTCAAAAATGCAGAATCCTCTATTTCCCATAATGCAATGTAACAGTTTCTTTCATCACAACTTCTGCCCCCCCCCCCACCTTTCTTATATTTTTGAAGTCTCAAGGCTAACTTAAGATAATCCTGATGACGTCATGATGATCTCCTCCAGAGCCACAGCAGACATTGTACAGCTGCTTTCAGGCTGGATAGTATTCCACATTAACTTAAATGAATTTGAGTGTCTTTTTAAAGAAACATGCCAAATATAGTTTGAGCTCCACTGAACAGAAGAGAAAATCAACCACAGTTATTGAACTACTGGAAGCAGAACATCTGATTTAATTGTTGAAATGTAAAGTGTGAAACTTCCTATATGCTCCACTTACTAGCATTTTGCCAGAACTTTCAAAAATGTATTAGTGTTTGTTATTATTGTATGTTTGCATAGTAACATTAACTTTGCTGATATTAAATATAATGTATGTATGAAATGTTGCATTATAGTCACATATGTATGAGTCCTACATGATCAATCATTTGGTGTTTTAGTTCTATCTGCCTCACATCATTCCACATGTTCGTCTCAAGCATTTGAGAGACACTTAAAGAAACTGTTTGACATTCCAAACAACAGTCAGCACCACATACCAGTTCAGCTTCTCAAGGTTGTGCCATCAGTGTGTGTGTATGCGTGTGTGTGTGTGAGAGAATTAGTTCAGATGGTGGTACCTCGTATGGCAGCCTCTGCCATCAGTGTATGGATGTGAGTGAATGGGTGAATGACGTTCAGTGCTCTGAGTGGAAGACTAGAAAGGTGATATTTAAATGCATGAAGTTCATTTATGAATTGGGTGACACACCGTCAAAAGGATTTGTTCTGAGTTTATTGACACTACCATGGCTGACAAAACTCAAACTAAAACACCAGACACAAAACAAGATGTGTTTGGAGGACATTTTATTTGGATAATACATAATGAAAGTAAAGCAGCACTTAACAGGCAGGCACCTGCCTCGCACTCATGTCAATACTTTTCTTTTTGAAAAAGTTCTATTAAAAACTTTGCATCATATCATCATTGTCAACTGCTTAAATAAAGGTTATACAGTACAGAGACATACAGGCGACTGGCTATTTGGGGCAAGCATGGCAAAGCCCCCCCCTGTTGGCTAGAGGCAGATATATACAACAACACGTCCTCAAGTGTGGGAAAACTACAACGCCCAGCAACCGCGTTGATGTTGATGTTGTGTTTAATGGAGTGGTTCTCCAGGGAAAAAAACTCACTAGCTTGTCAGAGAAGAAACGTTTGTGCCTCCTCCATGTGTGTTAGTCGGAGGGATGGTGCCTGGTCAAGAGCATTCTGATCTCTATACACAGATCCTGCAGTCATATGCAGAAGGCTTTGGTATCTGAAGTGTTCTGGTTCACGTTCTGAGTTGTGTTGACCAACACGTTGGAGCAGACTTTGGTTGAATGCAGGTAAACGGTCCGTGTGGAGAACAAAAGAGGAAGAGCATAGCTGAAATACCCTTGCATTAGTACATGGATTATCACCTGTGTTAAATGTGTACAAAATGTGAAGTTGTATACATTTCTAGGTTTTGCATCTGTCACCACTGGGTATACTGTATATGACCGCCTCTGGTTGTACATTTAAACATGCTGTATAACGTACAACATTGCATTTAGTTAGCGATGGCTAACTGATAATAACTCACTGTGAACCACTAGTTCTTCTCCGTCCTCCAGTGCATCCACAGGATCAGAGCGTGATAACAGAGCAGACACAATGAAGTATAAACAGGTTCTGAGGCTCATGCACAATGAATCCCACAAACTCCACCATATAGAATCATAGAATACACTGCTGCAATATGGCTTCAGTTACCATGGTGATGGAACACAAACGTCCACTCCATGAATGTGCGTAAACAGACAAACCTGTATGAACATCTCTCGTCCAGCTTTAGCAGCAGTTAAATCCTCGTCCGTGCATCAAATGCATACAGCTAGATTGATTCAAGTTCATTTTGCAAGAAGAATTACATTAGCGCATGAAGCAGTGTGTCCTGTGGATGTTCAGCGTGCTTCCATCATGGGGTGACAAACACAACGTGCAGGTGTTCAGCAGAGCTCTCATGAGGACATGAGCTCCAATCAACAAGCTCAACACAGGGGTGATGTCACAGAGGCTTCTTGCAGATATCATGACTGTTTTGTCCAACTCATACTTCAGTATACATGACAACAACACTTCTTTCCTGAGATAAAGGGAATGAGACTGATGCACAGAGGATTGTGAGAGCGAGCTCTTGCCCTGAGCAGCTGGAGCAGAAATGTAGTGAAGCAGCTAAAGGTGTGACTCCGTGTGCTCAACATGGATACGTCTTTGGTCTTACAGAAGGGACGGCTGTGAGACCAAAGAGACCAGCAGCATCTTTGAAGAGCATCTCTGTGGGCAAGTGTTAGTGACACTGGTGATGTCATGCCGGAGTCGGTTTCATATTACAGAGACGTTGTCCTGGTCCGCAGCCTGTCTGACCAAGTCCACCTCCAAAAAGTCAGACTGGCCGCTATCCTCAGACATTTCCTCCTCTTCCTCTGCACTCCTGCCTGCCTCTTCGTGTCTGCTCTGTCTCTGGCACATGCCGGACTTGGTCGGGCCAACCAGAGCCAGGCAAATGGCACTGAGGCCCATTCCCACGGCACATGAGTAGAAGGCAGCGCCGTAGTTCTGTGTGACATCTACCAACACACCTAAAAGAAGAGACAGCGGTTAGAAAGTGCTCCAGAAAGGTTAACTGATGAGTGCAATCAGAGAGAAGGCCAGCAGTAAAAGAAGCAGAGATCCTGTACCTCCTAGTGGTGGCCCTGCCAGACCAGCAAAGCTCTGGATGAAGACGTAAACTCCCACAGACGATGCCATCTTCTGGATGCCCACCACGTCCTCCTCAGCCAGCATTGGGACGTGAATAGAGCCGACGGTGCCCATGAAGTAGCCGTAGAGGGCGCAGCAGACCACTAGGCCCCAGAACTCCCACACAATAGTGAAGGCCACCAGCACCAGGCACAGCAGAACCACACAGCCCAGCAGCACCAGGATCTTCCTGCAGTGGACTTTATTCAACACCACTCCGATGGACAAGCGGCCGAAGATCTCGGCCACAGCCATCACAGAGAGCATGTAGGTGGCCCAGCTGGGCTCCACGCCCCGGCTCTTGCTCAGTTCGATGATGTAGAGCTGCGGGGCGAAGAAGCCCAGCGTGGCGAACAAGCCAAAGAGCGAGTACCAGATGAAGGCACCGTCTTTGAGCACAGAAAAGTCCAGAAGTTTGGAGCTGGACGCATGGAGAGGACCCGCCTCTACCTTGACTGGGCTGGGGGGGGTGAACAGTGACAGCTCCAAGCTCTGTTTGTCCTGCACCTCCCACTCCATCAGAGCCTTCTTTTCAGCTCCTGCAGTCCTCAGGTCTCTGTTGGAAGTAGAGAGGGAGGTGACACCCGAGTCCTCTGAACTGATGGAGATCCCGGTTTGTTCGTTCTCCAGCTCCAAAGCAGTCTGCAGCTCTTTCAAAGACAGAGACTCTGATTCTTTGCCCTCCTTTACAGGCTCCGTAACAATAATGATTGGACGGAGGAGAAGCCCACAGCCAATCACAGAAGCCTGAAAGATGCCGAGGACAACCAGACAGTAGCGCCAGCCAATGTGTTCCTTCAGTGTACAGAACGCTGTGGAGAGAGGACAGCAGCCGTTATATTACTATTCAATACTCAAGGTCCACTCACTGTACTTCATACTTGACAGGAGTTTCACCTAAACCACTTATTGTCAACCACTGGAGGGCCTCAGAGCGCCATCTAGGGGGCCCACGTTGGTACTGTCGAATGGTTCGATTAAAATAAATCATTAACAGAGATAGTTATTTTTATATTTAAATGTGCTGAAGAATTCACATAAATAAAAAACTTAGAGTAAAAGAGGAGATTACTACATTAAATATGGATTCATAATGGCATTCTATCTAATGGCATGGTATCCTATTAGTATATGACTGTATGAAAATAATTCTTTAATCAATGCATGATAGTCATATCATTTTTTTTATGAACGACCGTATAGTATATAGCTTTAAATGTTGCTGTCGCAAGGAATTGTGGGGCGGCATTATGTCCTTCCCTTTCATAAAGGATGGTCCAGTGTATCCTATGCTAAAGGAGCTCAGAAAGGAAGCATTGAAGCACCTTTCCTAGTGTTTAGAGCGTTCTCAGAGACGTCTGGGTCACCATCATTCTCCAAAGATGGGTCTACAAGTCATTTACTGACAGACACCCAGCTGTAGATACTGAAGGAGTCAGGAAACAGTCAGCAGCAGCTAGCTCGTCAGCAAGCTAACCCGTTCTACCACTATTATCACATGACCAACACAGTGACAGCTGAGCCATCACCATGACAACCGAGAAAACTCCATCCACTGGGGAAAAAACTAGTAGGTGAAAATAGTTCCACTTTAGCTAACTGCCCCTCTGAGACTGAACACTCACCTGGAGCAAATGCAAACATGGCGAAAGATTCTCCGGAGGAAGCGACAGAGGTAACGAGGGCTCGCCGTCTGGAGAAGTACTGGGCTAGGATGGTGACGGTGGGAAGGAAGGTGAAGCAGTAGCCCAGGCCTGTAAACAAAGGAGAAGAGAAAAGGGGGACATGACAGCCACTGGCTCACATGGTAGGAGCACCGCATGGCTAGTGGGCTGGGTCAAAGATCAAGGCGTCAGGTCACTCCTGTCAAAAGGCATGTAAAGAGAAAATGAAGAGACAGGGGGAGAGAGGGGAGGGGTTGTCCAGTTAGCTGTGGTCCATCTGAGAGGCACACATGGTAATCCCAGTAAGAGAGCTAACTAAAACATATTTCACCAATGTCATCATCATCATCATCATCCAATCCATTACTTTCATTCAGTCCATGTATTCCTTCCTCCTCAGCCACTTCCTGTTCTGTCAATCTTGCTCTGAAAGAGAATTTAGTGTTTTTTGTGGACTATTTGGCTGCTCCGGTTTCCCTGCTCTGCTCCTTCCTAAAGACTAAACACAGCTGTATGGTGTTTAGAGGCTGATCACCTCTCAGTCATCGGCCTCTTCTGGAAGAAACAAACTGATTGAGATTCTGTTGTTGACACTGCTGGAGTTCATTCATTACAGGATGGGACTGTAAACAAGACAAACACATCTACAAGAGGTATACAGTCACCCTGTGAACAGCATGTTACTATTACACACACACACACAAAAAAAGACAGACAGACAGACAGACAGACAGACAGACACACTCACAAAGACATGCACACACAAACAGACAGACACACACAAAGACACACACACAGACAGACCGACCGACTGACAGATATATAGCTGGTAGTGTGAGTATCATAAATGATAAGTACCTGAGACAATACCCATGGTGATATACATGTCGTTGATGGAGCTGCTGAAGGCGGAGGTGATGGTTCCCAGGCTCATGAGGAAGCCTCCCATCATCACCACTGGTCGAAAGCCGAAGCGGTTGCTCAGCATCGTGGACAGGGGGGCTGGAGTGGGGGTGAAAGAAATAATAAGTCAATTATATATATTTGAGTTAACCCAAATCTTTAACGAGTCACCTTTGTTTGTATACCAACAAAGAGATGGGCTGCGGTCGAATAGTCCTTTTTGCTTAGGAAGGTTCCTCACTGCGTGAAATGAACCGGAAGTATCTCAGTGTCCTCCATGATGAGAGCTGTTCGAACTCTCTAAATGCGAAGGAAAGGTGCTTCAATGCTTCCTTTATTAGCTCCTTTAGCATAGGAAAACCTGGGCCTTCCTTTATGATAATTCCACCCCACAATTCCTTGCGGCAGCAACATTTAAAGCTATATACTATACGGCCGTTCATAAAAAAAAATGATGTTTCCAACATTTCAAACCATTTTTGCTTTTGTTTATAGTTTAATGTTATAGTAAACTCAACATTTTTGTGTTTTGGACTGCTTGAAAAAAAAAACAACTGGAAGAAGCGACTTCGGACTCTGTAAAACTACAAAGCTTAAATGCATTCATTGTTTAGTCTATAACACTTAATAGACAATCATTAGCTGCAGCCCTACAACTCGTTCTATGTATAATAGTCTCTCCTCTCCTCTTGCTGTTCTGCTGCCACAGCGTGACATCCTCCATGTCTGTCACACTGTAACAGGACGATTACAGACAAAGGAGAAACAGATGAGTAGAGGCTGAGTGACTGACCAGTGAAGCTAAAGATGAAGACACAGATGGAGAAAACCCATGACACTCGGCTGTTGCTCTCCCCAAACTCTTCCATCAGGTCCTGGAGGAAGACACCCAGACTCTTGAGGGTCCCATAGGTACAGACCTCCACCCAGAAGAAGGCCACGGCCACAGCCCAGCCCCAGCCGCCTTCAGGCACCTCTGGGTAAACATTTGGACCCAAACACCGCTGGAAATTGGGTGTCCTCATGGCTGCAGCAGGCCACCTGGAGGAAGAAACAGAGATGTCATCAGTGAGCTCATTCTGAAGTCCTACTTGACCATGAATTTATGATATCTGGGGGCAGAAGAACTCCAGCCCTCACTGAGACACACACTTCTCTCTGTGGAAACAGCTCTTTGCGGCTGGAAACAGAGTTGGGACTGAAATTTGATTGAATAGTTTGGTTTTCTGCTTTACACCATATTGTTGGCCAAGGATTGTCCATTCATCTTCAAATAGTTTGCTGACACAATGTTTCACGCCTCTCTCTGCTGCGCAGATCCATTTTAAATAGCTTGTTCTAAAAGGGCTGTGTAGGCCAACCTAACTTATTGAAAACGTTGTTAAAGACAATGTTGAATCAAGTAGAAAGAGGCGTGGCTTTATTTTCAAAAGTGAAATGCAACGTAGAAACAAAGCCAGTTCCTGCTTCAGCTGCAAACACAGGAAGTTGACTTGGCTCTTGAGAGGCTGCAGTGTTTATTCATGAACAATCATAAAGCTACACTGCACACAGTGTTTATTCATGAACAATCATAAAGCTACACTGTACACAGTGTTTATTCATGAACAATCATAAAGCTACACTGTACAGTGTTTATTCATGAACAATCATAAAGCTACACTGCAGTGTTTATTCATGAACAATCATAAAGCTACACTGCACACAGTGTTTATTCATGAACAATCATAAAGCTACACTGCAGGGTTTATTCATGAACAATCATAAAGCTACACTGCACAGTGTTTATTCA